CATCAAGATTAAAGCTCGTGAAAGAGCTGCTTCATTATTTTTAATGAGTTTATATGATGAGTCTTACCAAAGATTTATGGATATATTCGGTAAGAATCAGGAAATTAAATTGAGAGAAGTGTATGATGTAATTAGTAATGCTAAAAGAGGAGTAACTAACTCCAGTTTTGTTGGAAGAAGAAATCAATTCAAGCAAAAAGTTAAAAACTTCAATTGTAAAAGATGCGGGGGACAACATAAAACTAATGAGTGTCCAGAATTTCAAGAATGGTTAAAGAACAAAAGAAATAAAAATCATGAAAAAGATTACAAGATTAATAATTCTCATACGGCTTGGATTGCGTTGATTAGCAAACAAAATACAACATCGAGAAACGATTGGTATTTTGATACTGGTTGTACCCAGCACATATCTCACGACCGTTCAATGTTTTGCGAGTTAGTTGAAGGAGATGAGAATGAGTTTGGGGTTATCGAAGGCATTGGAGGTAAAACTGCTATTAAAGGTATTGGTACAGTACAACTAGGACATGTCACATTATACAATGTGGCATATGTTCCTGATGGCAACGTAAACTTGATTTCTGTCAAAATGGCTTCTTCTAAATCAAACATGAAATTTATATTTGACAAAACAAAGGTATATACAATTAAAAATAATAAAATTACTCAAGTTGGTGAAATGAGAAATCAACTTTATGTTTTTATGCCCAACAATAAAGAAACAAAAACGATGAACAAACCACTTGATTATGCTTTTATTTCGTATGACCATTCTGTTTTGCCATCTCCAAAGGCAAATATTCCAGATGCCATTAAATGGCATGCTAGAGTAGGACATCCAGGTTTAGCTAATTATAATCGATTGGCAAATCGAATTGACTTGCCCATTATGGAAGCTGATAAACACTCGTTGTGTCCCACTTGTTCCCTTTCAAAAGGGGTTATGAAAAAAGGAAAAATTTCTGACACACAATATACGAGCCCTTTACAGCTGCTACAAGTTGACATTTGTGGTCAATTTAGGTATACTAATTTTTCTGATAGTAAATATTTTTTGACTATCCGGGATGCCTACTCAAGATATTATTCCGTAATTCATTTAGCATCGAAATCAGCTGCATGTGATAAGCTGATTGAATGGATCTTAGAAACTGAGAATCATTTCAAGTCAAGAGGGGGATTTAAGGTGGGTGCCATTCGCACAGATAATGGACGTGAATTTATGTCTAGTAAATTTCATAATTTCTGTAAAAGCAATGGAATTTCCCATCAATTAACTGTTCCATACAATAGTTTTCAAAATGGAGCAGTTGAGAGATCTCATCGCTCGATTGAAGAAAAAACAAGATGCCTTTTAATCGGAGGCAAGGTACCTCCTTCTATGTGGACAGAGGCTGTAAGTACTGCTGTATATCTCTTAAATAGGTTACCAGTATCTAATAAAAATTATTCTATCCCTTACTGTCTCTGGAACAATATTCAAACAGAAAATCTAGATTTATCACATCTACGTATATTTGGATGTGCTGCATATGCTACATTACCTCATCAATTACGTGACGGGAAATTTGCTCCTACTAGTGTAAAATGTGTGTTTGTTGGATATGACTCCAAACACAAAGCATACCGTCTCTATCATCCTCCTTCTAAGAAAATTTTTGTATCAAACCAAGTTCGCTTTGATGAACTTGATTTCCCACTTGCAGGTACCAAAGAAGTTGAAGTGGCTCATACATTTGCCACTGGTACTTTAGGTGGTGTCCCAGTTTATCCTTCATCTACTGATATTTTCAAAACTTCATCTTCTGAAATACAAACGTCAAATTATTATCCTGAAACTACTGATTATCCTATATATGAAAACAACTTAGAAAATGAATTAACCACCATACATGGTGATGAGGTTCTAGATCAAGGTACTAGTCGATACTCCACTCCGTATCTATCATCTGTTGATTCTGATTCTTTTATGTTCCGAGTTGATTCATCTGACAATGATAAGCACGAATATGACTCCTCTTCCTCTGATGAATATGAACTACCATCTACTTCCTTCTCTTCTTCTCCTATTTCTACGACTTCTGACTGTGAAAATTTTACTTTCAACAACCTTGATTCATCCTCTATAAACAATGAGTCAACCGCCTCATTCTCCTCACATAATTCTAATCAAATAAACAAGAAGGAAGCAGAAGAACTATCATCAATTGCTTCATCCTCTGATACTGACTCTTCAACTACTCCAACAGCTGTTCCAGTAACTACTCAACAATTAACATCTACCATTGATGATACCCACTCCGACACATCTTCTCCTAATCTACAATCCAAATCCTTATCAACTGATAATTCACCGGTTTATAACTTAGAAGACTTAGATCCCCATAAACCATTAAAAAATAGTAAAATTGAATTAGCTGACAATATTTCCGCCCCTATCACCACACATGTTAGCAAGTTGAATGGCCAAACATCCTCAATTGTTAATCATAACAAGTTAGGTCCTATTCCTGCTTCTGAATTCTACTTAAATCATCAAATTGAGAAACACCATCCAAAGTGGGATTCTAATCCAATTAGTCCTGGTAAAATTGGTACCCCTGCTGTTGAGGCTGTTAATATTGACTCCGGCAGTTTTGTTCCTATGAACTCCATGGATGGTCTCACCCAACTCATTAGAACACCGGTATTCCCTTCTTCTCAATCATCTGGCTCTGATGATAACTCTTCACATCACATAGCCTTGACTGCGTTGGTACATGGCATGTCCTTTACGTCTACCACTACTTCTGTCCCAAATACATTCAACCAGGCAATGAGTTCATCAGATAAAGATAAATGGTATCAAGCCTGTCTGAAAGAACTTCAAGCTTTTAAAGATCATGATACATATAGGTTGACTCCTCTCCCTCCTGGTCGTCGTGCCTTGGGGTCTCGTTGGGTGTTTAACATTAAGGACGGAAATCGGTTTAAAGCTCGTTTAGTGGCTCAAGGACACACTCAAAAAGCTGGCATCGACTATCAAGAAACCTTTGCTCCTGTGGTGCGGTATGATTCTGTCCGTATCTTTCTTGCTATCTCTGCTCTCCTTAATCTCCGTGTTCACCAAATGGATGTAGACACTGCCTTCTTAAATTCCAAAATGGAAGAGCCGGTTTACGTTCGTCAACCTCCAGGTTTTGTTGATCCTGTGCATCCCAATCACGTGTGGCAGCTTTACGGGGGTATGTACGGATTAAAGCAAGCCCCACTACTATGGAACACGCATATTCATAAAACATTATCTAGGAGAGGATTTACTCGTCATGATGGAGAATATGGTATTTATTTTAAAAATGTAGACAACTTTAAAGTATTGATTGCACTTTACGTTGATGACCTTTTAATTGCTGCTCCAAATAAAGATATTATGAACTCTGTGAAAGCAGGGTTAAACGAAGCTTATTCCATGAAAGATCTTGGCCCTGTTTCTAAATTTTTGGGAATGAATGTTTACCAAGATAACCTGAACAATATAACCATCTCAATGGAGGACTATATTACCAAAGCTGCTCAGAGCTGTCAAATAGACTTAAATAAAAATGTGGAATTTCCATTATCTAACACAGCCAATTACTTTGACACAGAATCTCCAGCAATTGCCAATATCACTGAATACCAAAGTATTGTAGGCCAGTTGCTATTTGTTAGCAACGTTGGACGGCCTGATGTAGCTCACTCTGTTCAACTACTATCACGGTTCCTCAAAGATCCTAGAGAGGTGCATTTAAAAGGTGCTTACAGAGTTATGCAATATTTATATAAAACCAAAAAACTAGGATTGTCTTATAATACAAGATCCAATAAATATCTTGAAGGATTCTCAGATGCATCTCATGGAAATAAGAATGATTTGAAACATGCAACTGGTGGGTTTATTATAAAACTTGCTGGTGGAGTGGTTACATGGTCTTCCAAGAAAATTACAAGCGCAGTTTGTCTATCATCTACTGATGCAGAATACATTTCTGCTAGCAACACAAGCAGGGAATTAATTTGGATAAAAAATATGTTGAATCACATGAAAATAGATGTAAACGAAGTTAAATTATGGATAGACAATGAACCTGCCATTCACGTAGCTAAAAACCCTGTCTTACACTCAAAAATGAAACATGTTAACCTTCACTATCATTTCATCAGACACCAAGTAGAGTCTGGTATTATTGAAATTGGTCACATAAATACAACTGAACAAATTGCTGATATAATGACAAAAGTTTTACCAAGACCTGCCTTTATAAAAGTCCGAGATTTATTCATGAAGAAAATAGAACAGGAATTTAGCTTACGGGGGTGTGTTGAAATATAATTATTAGAGCTATGTTTGATAATCTAAATTCATCGTACTAAGTGATTAAAAGTTATGAAAATTTATAGTAAAGAAGATTCAAAGATAAAATGAGTATACTGTATAATATTGTATCTTGTATATTACTTATATAGAAAGAAAAGGACTAAGCAATAAAATAACAATTTATAGTACCACTAACTTCCTACTATAAATAATAATAGAACTTATAATACCACCAATATCCTATTGTAAGTTACATTATCTTATTATATTAGTTTAAAATGAACTCGACTAGAATTTTTGATTCTGAAGCCTTGCGTCAACACTAATAGATACATAATCTTGCGGGCAATATTCCAGTGTCTGAGTGGAGGATTGGTACAACCATATACTCAGTGATCAGTTTAAGCTACTGAATTTATTTAGAGGTTTTCCGAAGAGTGATAACAATACCAGTTCTTACCCAAAAGTCCTTCGATATTTGTAGAAGCAAATTACTTATTATCCATATATATGATGTCACGGATTTCTTCACTGCAGGTTTTTATTTTATTTACATTTTTCTGTATATTATTATTTCTATATTATGTATGCTAGAGTGAAAATATTTACTTCCAATTTGTATACTATTAAATACATAATAATTAAAAAAAAAAATTTCTCACTAGAGTAACAAACGAGGCCATTCATTAGAAACACAATAACCATCACAAGGTAACTTCATAAGATATCCTTTCATGAATAGCCAATTACATATTTCCGATAATTCATTAAACGACAGAATTTGATTGCATTGTTCAAGCAATTTGGAAATGGTAATACCTGGACGGAAAAGAATTGTATATATAACGAAACAAGTACATTGCTTCCACACAGTCTCCCTCAATCTACCTTGTGCATCAACCCATAACCGTGCATATGGTTCGCCTAGTGGTGCAGGTACAGATTTTGATTTAGTGTAAAATGGCATCTTTATGTCCTTCACAGTCAGAATTAAAGGTGGTGTTAACGTGTCTATTTCAAATTTTCTAGACGCATAGTAAAAACGATAATTCTGTTTCTCCATAGGGACCTGATAAATATTGACAAGTCGTCTTTCACAAATATCAATCAAGCTGATAATAGAAGTGTCACGAGGCTCATCACTTACAATAATCCCATTACTTCCTTGTAAAATCCCTTCAATGTTTTCTGTGTAACTTGCTATTTTTTTAAACAAATCTGTATATTCATTATTTTCGAAAAATTCACCTACTGTAGTAGTCATTCTAAGCTTTGAACCCTTTAAATATATTTGTTTCTCTCTAGCCATTTCAACTAAGGTTTTTTCAATCAATTCATGCGGAATATTATCAAGAGCTGGAATTTCCTGAACTTCAGTATTTTGCCTATCAATTAAAATAGACCTAATAACAGACCTAATTTTTTCCTCTGATTCGGATTTTTTTAATTTAGTAACAGTGGAATATGGGTTTTCTATGGTATAAGTTTCTTTCAAAAGGAACACTTCCCTTTGGATCATCGAAGAAAGGACATTACTCATTCTTGCTGAAATATTCCGAGAATCTGGTGCAAGTATATATTTTTTTTTATTATCTTCGTAATTCTGATACAGTTTAATAGAATTAATATCTCCATCCTTCTCATGATCTAACCATAACTTTAATAACTTAGATAAATGTAACTTCTCGACATTTTCCAGTGTAACAATCTCCTTTTTAATACCATCAACTAAAATCGATCTCCACTTATCTACAAGAAGCTTTAAACCACTGTTTCCCATTCTAATTCTTCTAGTTGCCCATTTTTTCTTTAAATTCCCTATACTATTCTTAGGGAACAAACACGAAATTGTAGGCCATTGAATCTCTTTTGTAATACTTTTAGTAATAACAACAGCTTTAATTAATATAGGTATTGTTTCCTTCTTTAGAATAAAGGATAATTTAGACATAGAAGATGATCCAGAATTTTCTAGGATAGATATTTCGCCATCAACTCTATCCTTTGCAGCTTTTTTAACTGATACAGACTTTACAACATCATCTCTTGATTCCTTTGATCTCTGCTTCTTCTTTTGCTTAGTATTCGTATTCTTGTTAGATGCAGCAGTCTTTTCCTTAAATTTACGAAGCCTTTTTACAGCTTTAGATTCTAGGTTAAATTTCTTTTCTTCATTAGCATCAAAGAAATAAATATCACTCTGTGAAATAATGTCGTGTATCCCGGTTTTTCTATTATCTTTATCTTCCATTATGAATTTTTCAATAGTTTCAGAGTCCATATCCGGTAGATAGATATACCGTTTCCTCAACATTCTATCAATTTTTAATATTACCTTATTAGTACTAGATAAAAATCTTATATCACCATCAATAGTCTTTTTATCAACAATGGTTGTTAAACCCAACATCTTAGACAATTTATCGAAAAATTTTTCCCTTAAGAATGCAAAACCTCCCATTCTTTTCAAAAGTTCCAAAAGTTTCCTTTGTCTTTTCAAGGAAGCTAATGAGGTTGCTTGAAATCCATTAACTGAAATAGTATTGACTACGCTTTCAGTAGGTTCCGATACAGATACCATAAAGGTTGGATCAATGATGGTATCTGTATTGATTTGTTCAGATAATACCGCATATTCCGATTGATCCTTTAATAGCAATTTCTCAGCAGCGATCTTTTTATTTTCAATTTTAATTCTTTTAGCAGTTTCTTCCTCTTTTAATTTTGTTTCTTCCTCTTTTTTCCTTTTCAATTTTTCCATATTCTCCATTTTTTTAGATACTCTCTTTGGTCGACTTGTGCTTAAATTTTCTATATCTTCACCATTCCAAAAAAATACTTCTTCCCCATCTTTATTAACACCAAATCTTACAGTGTTACTAATAGCAAGAAAATTATTTTTATCTAACGAGGTTAATGATATATTTTGTTTTTTTAACGGTTTTAAAACACCAATATCAGTAGAGACTTCCTTATCAAAACATTTATTAAAATTCTCTTCTGTGAAAGTTCTATAAAATTTTTTTTTACCTTCAAAATCATATATTTTAATTAACTTTAATCCAGACGTAGAAGCATTCTTTTTCCCAATTGTACTTAAAAAATATTCCCCAACCTTTGCATATGCCCTTTGAAAATCTTTACCACATATATATTTTACAGCATCAATTGTAGATAACCCTCTTTCACCTGTCTTTTCACTGAGATCATATGTTTGGTTTTGAATAGGATAAAATCTATTCATCAACATTTCATTTCTTTCAATCACAGTTTTAGTTTTATTTTTCTCATCAGTAATTATTGTTTGATAGGTTAGCAGATCTATACCATTGACTTTATCCAATCCTTCATATACAATTTCATCATAATCATCTTCATATGCATCGTCATTTTCACCATTACCACCATTACTGCCACTACTATTACTATTTTTCCCAAGACTGGTATCACGGTTTCCATCATCGCTATCAGATGGACTTCCATCTTCAAAATCCACCCCAATTTTATTATTTTCTAAAACGTAATCACGTTGATATTGAACACATCTAACTTTAACATCAGGATTGTTTGGTGGAATAACTAAAACTCTTCTCAAGAACCCTTTATCAGAAAGCCAGTTAATAGCTGCAAGGAATGATTTAGAAAGCCTTTTATTCTTATCAAAATTCATTTCTCTTCTTAAGTCATTAATCTGTCTTATGCCATTTTTAGATTTCTTCACTATACTGACAATAGTCCCCAAATAGTCTCTCATACGAATATAGGTAGAACCATCTTCTATCTTTTTTGTACTAGATTGATTAGCTTCCGTTGAGACAAATTTGTTCAAGGTTAATTTTTTGACTACGTGGCCTTTATAGATTAATTGGACACTTTGATATAGATATTCTATCTTTTTTAATCTACCAGTAATTGACCTTGGATCTTGTCTAGTGGCCCTTGCCAATTCCATTGTATTAATCCCTTTCTCTTTGGCATTAGCGATTTCCAATAATAATTCGAAAGCTAAATTACCAATTTTACATTCCTTTTTGTTATAACCTGTCAAAATGATCCATAATCTATTTTCTTGGAGTTTCAAAGAGTATTTCCCATCAGTGTCATCCAATAATAAAGAAATATCAATATCGTTTTTATTTGGGACTGGCAATTCATTCTCAACTAAAATGACGTCAATATTGGATAAACAACATTGTAATATAAATTTCTTCATACTTATATTCTCAATTTTAAAAGTATCCCATAATTTATTAATTTTAATCGATCCTTTATTATAAGAGATTTCTTCATATATCTTACCCACGATCTCATCTGGAAACATAGGCAGAGATATTGAATCTATAGTATTTGGTTCTTCCATTGTAATATCTGGTATTAGAAGCCAACAAAATTTGAAGTGTACAGGAACCTAAATAATATTGGAAATTAAATTATCACACACGTCCACACTCATATATAGATATATGTATATATCAGTATACTAACTACAAAAAATGTGTATATGATTAAATGAATCGATTAATAGTAGTATTTACTATTCTTATAAAGTAATCTGGAGTTAGGAAACTACAATGAAATTAAAAAAAGAAAGAAAAAAAAACAGTAATTCTAAATACAAAAATTCTTGTGAAAATTAAGGCTCTTTTCTTATACCCTGCTTTACTTTGTTTATGCTTCATTAATATGTGGTATGTGCAATAACTTTTACTAGCTTTTCCATTTTTTTTCTTATTTTTTTTTTTTTTTTTTTCTTTCAAAAAAATAATAATAATAAATATATAAATAAAGATAAAACGGGCTTACTACAATATATTCTGTAAAATTTCCTTATGGGCAAAAATTATTCTGCCAGATTTGGTGGAAGTACTAAAGGAATTAAATGTCCTTAGATTTAAATAAAAAGAAAACTTGTTTCTAGATTTATTCACACATTCTAAAAACAATTTCTTTGAAAGACCCAGGTTATGTGAAGGGTAAAGCACTTTATAAAAGAAATAGGAATAAGATAATATTTACTTTTTACACTTAACTATTTAAACACAAGAATAAGATGTATTATCAAAACATTTTAAGAAGAATGTGATATATTACTACATTCAACAATAAAGTTATTCTCCCCTCCCTTTCTTCCCCGCAATTCCAGTATATTTTTAGAAATATGATTCTCTATACTTTCTCTTGTTTATTTTTTTTTGTTGTTGTTTCAATATAAGATCGGGATTTCAATAGTGACTATTAGTCAATATTTCATTTACTGGATATGTACAGAACATATTGGGGACATCATACCCAAACTAAGATTAGTATTTTTTTTTTATAGTGGGCTACCTAAAAATGGATACTAATTATCGAACAAATTTTATTCACAATCGGATTTCTTTGCTAAGTCAACCGATAACTTATTTATTTATTTATTTATTTATCTTATGTATAGCTGGAACTTCTTCCACTATATAATCCCCGCCAATCATATCTATATATATCTATATACATAAATATATAGTTTCTAGTTAGACTCGATGGTAATATCCTTCTTCTCTTCTTCTTCCCTACTAACAAATAGTGTTATATTCTACACATAGTGGTTACAACAACAACAGCGGCACAAACGTTGAGAACACAGCAGGATTCTGTTGATCACGTACCCAAAAAGCATCTTAGAAGAACAAGTTGTACTGCTCACTAATCTGGTTCTTCGATCTCTGGTACGGGTCCATCGTGATATATTAGTATGCATACGGCAAATACGACGTAAATATAAATATTGTTTGGGTTCGACCGAAGCCCGTAACATTTCTATGCCAATGTATCTTTTCTTCGTCCACGTTATGACACTAAAAATCCTCTTCGGAGTTTAGAAGGTACTTCTACACAGCTTTATTTCCGTCTTCAAAAGAGAAGGGAAAAGGAGAAAAAGGGAAGGTGAAAATCCATTTTAGTATAGTGCCTTTTTCTTAGTGTCTTTTCTTTTTGTTTTTCTTTCTTTCTTTTTTTTTTCCCCATTATAAAAATAAAATACTTTCATTTATTCATTCATTTGTATATTAATAAACATACGTGCTATACAAACAACAATTGATTTGTGATTTGTTGATTAACAAAAATAAGAAAGAGTACACAAAAAAGTCATATAGCAAAATATTAACATAAGTAAATAAAAAACAATATGTCCTTTGAAAAAGTAATTGAAGTAGCTCAAAATGATCCATTTCTGAAGTTGAATCATACATGCTTAAGAGTCAAAGATCCAAAAATTAGTGTTTCCTTCTATGAAGAAAAATTTGGGATGAAACTATTAAATCGTAAGGATTTCCCTGACATGAAATTTTCTCTATATTTCCTTACTTTCACAAATGACAACAACAATAATAAGAAAATAATTCCAAAGGATGGCAACGGTAACCTAAATCCTTTCTCCATCCAAGGTACTTTGGAACTCACCCATAACTGGGGTACTGAATCAGATCCTGATTATAAAGTTAATAACGGCAATATCGAACCATATCGTGGCTACGGTCATGTTGCATTCACTACAAACGATATTGAAAGCGAATGCAAAAGATTAGAATCCATTGGCGTGGACTTTAAAAAGAAATTGACTGATGGTAGACAGAAAAATATCGCCTTTGTCTTAGATCCCGATGGATACTGGATTGAATTAGTTCAGTACGATACATCCAATGCTTCTAATAAAGATCTTACCGGATATAGATTTAACCACACTATGATCAGAGTCAAAGATCCAGTCAAATCTGTCAATTTTTATGAAAACGTTCTTGGTATGACCACTCTTATGAAAAGTGAACATGCAAATGCCAAATTTACTAATTATTTCTTAGGATATCATAAGCCAACGGACGACAGATTATCTTTGGAAGGTATCATAGAACTAACACATAATTGGGGCACTGAAAATGATGAAGATTTCCATTATCATAACGGTAATGATAAACCTCAAGGGTATGGTCACATCTGTATCAGTTTGAAAAACCCTGCTGAGTTATGTAAAGCCATTGAAGAGACTTATGGTGACGAAATTACATGGGCTCCAAAATGGAATCAAGGTAAAATGAAGAATTTGGCTTTCTTAAGGGATCCTGATGGATATTCCATTGAAGTTGTTCCGGAGGATTTGATTTTATAGATAAATGTATAATGCATCATTTGCTTCCTCGTGTTTTATAAGATGAGCAGTATATAAGCTTTTTATACAAACATTGACATATTTAATATATGTTATTTAATTGTTTTTTTTTTTTTTCAAAATGTACTTGTCATAATGGAAAGAGTCCAAAGAAGAGTCGCCATTGTACAAGGAATAGCTCAAGAAGATAAAAAAGAACTGACCTTTCTGCTGTGTATGAACATTTACTAATAGTAACAATATAAAATAATCATAATAAGAATACCTGAAATTTAAGTTATAGTACTTGCATCGGAAAAAAATGGGGAAAGGGCGGGAGTTCGAAATTTCTGTGCTGAAGAACAAATTTCTCTTTCTCTCTCTCCTTTTCGATTTTTTTCCCCTTTCCTTTCCTTCTTTTCCTTTTCTCTCTCTCTCTATCTTTAACACAAACAATAAATTGTACTATGTCATAACTGCATCGGATTTTACACTTCTTTAAATCTCAGTGTTATATCCAGGTAATACGCCATTATATACATACACATATAAATATATAGATATATTTGTGTGTATATTTGTATATGTATGCATGTTTGCTACCAATAATTTAACTATGCCATAATTACAGTAGCTTCTCTGTACTATACATATTACTATTGAACATAATAAAACCAACAAACGGGATTAAACTAAAAGAAAGAAAATTTTAACTATTACTATTTTGCCTACATATCTACAAATATATATATATATATTCCAAATTGTAACTGCATATTCAATTCACTGTCTCATGAAATATTTCCTTAATATTCTGTCATTTTTGGTTTTAATACCAAAATGGCTATGGATAATATTAATCCTGTTACCAAGTCTCAAATACCTTCTTTATATCTTAACTGGTATTAATATAACGTATTTTAATCCAATAAAATTTAAATTCGGGTTTGTTTACAAAGATATTATTGAAGTTAAAAATATTCAAATAATTTTGTTACAAAGGAAAATTGTGGTTAGTGGTTTGAATATCAATAAACTTCCACATAATAATGATAATAATAAGCTTGCACCTAAAATTAAATTATTTGATGTGGGAAATGATGATATAGTACCCAAGACAAAAAAATTGATTAATGAAATTATGGTACCTCAGTGGGTAACAAACCATTATACCATACTGAAATTTTTGTTTGATGATTTCAGATTGGCATTGAATCATATATATGTCAAAGAATCAAATTTTAACCTGGTAGTGCTTCTTTTTATAATTACATTTTCTGAAACAAAATTATCTACTAACTCCACTACTACCACAAATAAAATTAGTCAAGATAAAACAGTTTGTTTTGATATTTTAATTAGAGGTGCAAATTTGGATAATGAAAATGTTTGTACTGAATTATATTTAACGTTGAAGAATAAATTATTCTTTCAACCTATAAAGGGTTCTAATAAATCCATTATAGCTTTTAATGACACTATCTTAGATATGAAATTTGGAAAATTGTTGTTGCCAATGAAACTTTTGAACTCTTTAAAAAAGGACGATACTACTGAAAATAATAGAATATGTAAACCTGCTTTAAAAGTTGAAAAGAAAGTATTACAAATAATTCAAAAATTAACAGAAATATACACATTTACATCTTTGATTGAAGAAATTAATATAACTATGGATAGATTGATTATGAAGGATTATGGTTTAACTACTAATAAAAGAATTATAGAAGTTAACAATTTTTTAAGTTACCATATATGTGCTTCCAATTTAACATTTAATATGTCTCGTTTCAAGCCCGGAATGCCTGGTTATCAATTGATTTTCAAAGATAACGATACCCCATTAAAACTAAGTTTGACTTTATCTCGCTTTAATATTTGTTTATGTATGAAAAGACAATCTGCTGCTGATAGAAAATTAGTAAAATTCCTTGAAATTCCAAGTATCTATTTGTTCGGTGAAACCAACATTTTCTCTCAAAAATTTAAACATGATTATGGCAATACAATTGAAAACGGTATTTTGAATTTAAAGGGTAATATATCATCACCAACTTTTGAAATTGATATTATAAATCTATCATTTTTGAAATCATTTAAAAAGAACATTAAAGTTTTTAAACAAGTTTTTGATGACCCAGTTAAAGTTACTTGTGGTGATGATAAAACCAAATCATATCAGAGAAATATCATGCTTTCATTTTTCAAAAGTTTCTTACCTTTAATTAATATGAAAATTACTGTTGATGAACCTCGTTTTATCATTAATGATAATGAAGATGTAATAATTATGCGGCTTTGCACTCTATTGATTATTGGCACCTCAAGCAGAACTCTTTGTGATTCTGAAGGAAATTGCAAAGAGATTCCATTAATCAGTAATAACGATATTCACATATATAAAGAAGATGCAATTGTCTATGAATCTCATCTAAATTTCGAACTATTAGAGTTGCAGATGCAACATCAGGTTAGAGGTAAGTCATATAAAAACATTTTTTTCAGACTCAAGAGTTTGACTTTACAAGACTATATTAAGATGAATCCACAACATATCATTGCATTATCAGGTACATTGGATGGTTTAGATATAGATTTATCTGAATTACCCACTATGGTCATGTTGAATCAAATTGTCAAAAAATTAGATTGTCAAATGGCAAATGTGGAGCGTAACTATTTTAAACTATTATATGAGAAATTTGCCTCCAAGATAAAAACTTCTGAAGACAAATGTTCTTTGCTAAGTAGAACCTTTGAAGAGGAAGCTATTGACCCTGGTTCATTTTTATTTCAAGCTTTACCTCAATTTTTTGATTATTTTAAGATCGACATAAAAAGTTTTAAAATTTTACTAGGGGCTCGGTCTGTTTTTATGCCTCCTGATGTTTTTTCATCAATTGAATCGCAAAGTTCACATGATTTAGTGGATGGTAGATTAAGAAAATTCTGCGTCACAATGAACCAATTGGAAATGGCTCTTTCAGGGAATTATACACAGTGGAAAAATAAATATGACAATACATATATTGGTATGGTTAAAAGTGGAGAAATATCAACGTATAGACACTATGATACTGATTCGTTGGATGATATTTCTACTAATGAATCAACAGAAGTCGGTTATTTATGGTCGTTTAATATATTAGTTGATGACATCACATGTACGGTTATAGGTGATGCACCAGATTCAACAAATGAATTGACTGCTAGAACTGTTTCTAGATTGTCTGTCTTATCTGTAATGGTTTATCCAAGTGTTGAAGGATTTGAAACTAACCAATCTAAAAAAATTATTGTACAAATTAGCAATAAAAAAGTGAAGTCTGTACTATCTTTAATGAATATTTTTCTTGTAATTTCGGGTATTCATACATTACATCAAATTTTCCGTATTTCATGTGTTAAAAGTAATCACGAGTCTCTGGCTAAAAAATATCTAATGGCTATTGCTCAAAGCCAAAAAAAATCATGTTTGAGGTTAATAAAGTGGAAAGATATATCGTCCTATCTTGACATTACATTTGGTTCAGAAACATTTAATCAAATACTGTCGTTTCCAAATGGATTAAGGGCAAAAATTGAATTATTTGCATTTTTTATGAATATTAAAAATATAAACAATATTGAACTTACTGGTGAATATTTAAGAATGTGTGTTGAATCGCCAACCATACCTTCTTTATGGGAAAGATTTATATTGATCAATAAGTTTTTAGTAAAGACAAAGATTAATGAATTAAAGGCACAAAGAGATATGACTTATGAAAAAGCTGTTTTTTCTTCTCCATCCATACTTCTTCAAAATGAATCCTGGCATTTGTCTGTACCACACAGTTTTGAACTTCATAAATTGATTGATAATTTTTCTACCGTAATTAAAACTCTAAGGCAAATGGTATATAGTTTTAAGACTTCCAAAAATAATCTAGTAATTTTTCCAAGTGAAACATCAGGTAATGCTGTGCCAAAAATTAAATTAAAATCCAATAGGTATATAATGAGTATTATGGATGATCCTTTTGAAGCGGAATTAAATATGATTTTCCAAATAGGCTTACAAGAACAAAGAGAGAGGTTAGTAAAAATACGCGAATTTGATGATTTATCATTAAAAAAGTTGAGAACACTTTATACCATAGATACTAAAAGAGATGAAACGGTTAGTGAAGTAATTAAAAAAAAAAGATTACAAATACTTAACTATAATCGTGCAAATGGACAAAAGAAAACTTTTAATGAACCGTTGATCAAGACATCATTTAATATTGATGGAAAAGCTAACGATAGGCGGACTAATTTGCTAGGAGCCATAACAGAGGAAATCGAACAATATTATGACAAACTTCAGGCAAATATATCTACATCATGGATTAGGAGAATACAATCCTTTCGTTATAAAGAAAAAGCATTATTTGAAAAAAATTTCTCATTTATATGGGGAAATATCGACTACAGTGTACTTCCACAAAATGTGTCTCAAAAATTATTGGATTTCTCGACTTATCCCTTTTTATCAACATTAATTATGGAAGATATTAATGTTGATATATGTAGACCTTCCTGTGGAATGGAAAACATTTCAAATTTTATCTATAATGTTGGTAAGGGAGTCCCTAAAGACACAAAGTATTCAATCATGATTCCTTTTAATATCAATGCATGTTTTTCTGAAATTAGATGGCATATGCGTGATTATCCATTGCCGTTTATTAATATTCCACCTTTGTTACCTAGTCAATCTCGAGAAAAATGCACTTTGCAAATTGCAGGTGATATAATTATTGCAGAAGATATGATTCAATCAGATCATGAATTGAGGACAATCTTCGTTCCATTAGTTCCTTCCATTGTTATGGAAAATACAGACGAATATTATTCATTGAAAGTTCCAAGAACTGTGACCAGTATCAAATTTTTTACTGATTTAAAATTTAATATTTACACAAAAGAAACGACACAGGTACAAGTAGGTGGTTCATACCAACCTGCAATTCAACAAACAATGCAATGCTTAGAAAATATTTCGAAACCACCGTTAGACCCTTCAAAAAAAACAGGGTTTTGGGATAAAATTAGATACTTGTTTCATGGAAGAATTCAAATTTCATGGCCTTGTGGTGGTCATTTTGAGGTTGTTATGAAAGGTAGTAAAAGTCCATATAAGATTGGTGGGGATGATGCAGGTTTTGTTTTAGGATTTGGAGGAAATGTTGTGTTAAATGTTAATAAGAAAGAAGACCCAAAAGAATTCTTATCATGCACAGCTGACCAGCTGTATTTTGGTATTCCAAACTTCTTTGCAAAGCCTCTACTTGTCTGGTTTAAACCTTCAACTAATAAAATATTTATCCCAAGCCAGGAAAATACTAACATGCAAAGATTTGCATCATATTATTATATGTTTGATTTAAGAAAGAAAAAGGATGAAATAATGCAGATCAATGCTTTTAAGGATGCATATATAGAAAAGACGGCTATTAAATTAACAGGTGGAATCATCTTTAACTTGGGAATGGTTTTTGAACGTATGGTTGGAAGCACATCTTTCAATAATAGAACTTTTGATTCAAAGCCTCATTATGACATTAGATTGACCAATCCTATCTATGTTGCAAATTTAGAGCAACATGACTCTTATGCTGGATTCAGAAGTGAATTCATTCACATGTCTTTTACTTTATTATCGAAAACAGATTCTGCTTATAATGCTATGCAACTAAGTCCTGCAACGTTAGACATTTTTTTTAAATGGTGGAAAACTTTTTCAGGCAATTTTCCTGTTAGACGTGGGAAATTGTTTAATATTCAAAACAATGCTCCAAAGTTCGGGGAACACATATATAGTATTTCTTATCATACAGATACTAGACCTTTGTTTATTTCATACATGGTTCATAATGTTGATGCAGATCGTGTTTTAAGAAAAAATTTTTTAAGCTCTATTGAATATGTTGGGTTAAAAGGCAAGACAGGCCAGTTTGTTATGGATTTACATCAAAGGAAGGAACTTTTGACAACTTATAATCCTACATTAGGTGTCAGAAAGAGAATAAAAAAGTTAAAATTTCATGAAGGTAAAATTATTATGAATAATATCGACGTTCGTACCGTACATGGTAAATTCCGCAGATTGCAATATATTGAAGAAAAAGAAGATGCAAAATATGACATATTTGATAATGATATGGCATGGATTGATCTCACTGATTTCCAAGAACCGTTTTTTGTTGATATTTACAAGTACTTACCATACATTTATGTCAGGCCATTTGTATTTGCTCCTAATTTCATGTATGACAAATCAGCAAGTTTTGGCGATTCATATCAGTTGGATCCAGTCACATATAAGCCAATTAAACCATTTATTAACTCTGTCTCACATAATTGTGTTTTAAATGAAGAGATGGGAATAACTACAAATATGATTATAACAAGAATTCAAAGCTTGAAAAAATATAAAACAACTGTTGAGAAACAATTGTCTGTAACAACAGATACTGACAAGAAACAAAACTATGGAAATTTATTGCAAAGGGTACAAATTGGTTTAAAGAACTTAGAGTTATTGGCAGATGATTTTAATACATTATGCAACAAACGTCATGGTGCGTTAGAGGATGGTAGGGCATATAATATTAGAAGTATGCAAATACTTGATAGATCCATTAAATCAAAAAGTTTATTTGATAATAGATTTTATATTTATCATATGCTATTAAAGTGGAATGAAAACATTAGAAATGTGTTATTGAAATTTTTCCATTATTTAACTTTAGCTAATGGATTTACCTCATTGTCATCTAGAAAAAGCTTTAGAATGTTTGAAGATCTAATTAAACAGAAAATATATGAGAAAGAAAAAGAAGAGAAGACTAATGATGAATCAACTTTCAATAAATCTGCAAATAGCATAAATACAATAAATGGAGAATCTAACGAATCCTTTTCCTTTTCTGGCAAGCGTAAATCTGATGAAGATCAAGCGTTTGATATTAATTATAATGATGACCTTGATTTGACCGAAAATTGTATTAAATTACTTGAAGATAAAATTCTTCATTTACCCGAGACTGTTGACGGAATTATTCATAGGAACAATTTTATTCAATTTGTTATTCCACAAGTTCAGTTAACCACTGAGGAGGACCCTGATTCATGTATTATTGTTACTGCACCAAATATTATTAATAAAATGATATCCTTTGAACCGAAGAACGATGATGTGAATATTTATTATGAAGAGAGGTTTTTGAAAAGATTTGGTTGTATTGTTAATAATGCAAACATTTTTGTATTGGATAGAAAGAAATATAAAGATAAGTCTGCCTTATTTTTTGATTTGAATTCGTATGGTCAAGTTAAGGGTGCTGAGTGGCCACCATGGTTAGGTGTTGAGTTAACCTTTCAAAACGATCTATTAAGTGAGGCTAAAGTAATTAGTGATGTTACTACAGTGGTGCAATCACAAACACTTTTACCTCTTTCTAATAATTATGAAAAAATTAGGAAGTCATTAGAGGATAAATTAACCATCCATTTGCCACGCGTTTTCTTAACGATTACATCAAAGAATTTTTCGATATTGTACAAAATATATCGAAATTTAACCAATTATGAAGAACCAGAAAAGAAAGAATTAAATAGCCAAATCGATAAAATGGCTATTGGATTTAATTTTAATAATTACGAAACGATACTTGAATCGGTGAAATTACTTTATGATAATTATGATATATTGACATGTTTGGAAAAAGAGTTTTCATTTAGAAGACATACTTTGGATGATATATCGAGTATTGATTTTTCTAATATTCACAACGAAAGAAAGAATCATTTATTAAGGTTATATATGTTGTATCAAGTATTGGAGACTGGGAAGACAGGGAGTAAAATTACTAATTATGATGAAGATAAATGGCATATTCTAAGGGTTAAAATCAATGAAATTCGTTTAAAATTATTAGACAATAATAGAAACGATTTTATTGATATTAATGTTAATAAATTGATATTTAAGAAATCCGATAATATTAATGGATTGGTGAAAAATCAGATATATGTTGAGACTATGGAGGTTTTGACATTGGAAAATAATTCTAAGTATGAGTATTTGTTGAGACCATACGAGCACAATAAAATATTGAAGACATGTAAACTTACATTAAAAGGATGTGTTAAGAATGAGTTACAGAGAGAACGAATTGATAATCCATTGGTAAATATTGTGTGGGAATATGAAACCCCAGTGGGTGGTATTAAAGTTATCAATAATGTTAATGTATTATTATCTGCTTTAAAGATCCAGATAGAGGATGAGATGGTCACAAAGGTAGTGGCATGGTTAAATATTAATAGTATTAGTGACGGATTGAAGGAATTACGTGGTAAAGATGTCACAGTAGATGATAATAACTTAGATAAGAAATTTATTGAGTGGAACCAAAAGGATGACACAAGATTTGTCAATAAGGGAGTGAATATTACACAATTGCGACAAGAAAATGGATTAAACACCGAACTGGATGAAATGGTGGAAAGGTCAATGAATTATATGATTATTGAGAAGTTAGTTGTTAATCAGTTTAAGTTAAACATATCGTATCATGGGCATGGTAAGAAACGACTAATCAATGTGACAGACTTTTTGTTTACATTCCCAAAAGTAATGTTTGAGAATGAAGTTATGAAATTCATTGATATAATCCATGTTTTAAGAAAAACACTCATACGCGTTATATTGAAACACACGGGTAAATTTTTAGGTACTAAACTGAAACGACGTCCAACTTCTAAATTAATTACTGCTAGTGATGGAAAGAAATCGATACAATCAAAAATTCCAAGTACATCCACATTGGGAGATAATTCATCATCACTTGCACCTTCTGCTATTACTGGAACTACTGCAAGTACTAGTACTATTACTGAAGTAACCCCTTCTAATATAAAAGATGTTCGAGAAGAAGAAAGAAATAATAAGAAAGGAATGGCTGAAAGTAAGTTAGCAGAAATCTGAAAAATATACAAAAAAAAAAAAAAAAAAATACAGATAATGTTCAGTATACTTTTTTGAATGCTGATCGCACATAATTGGAATGACATTATTAAATAGGAATACTTTTATACGTATGTATATTGTACATTGAGATGTGAGATATAACAAAAGATATATTGCTTGAATGCTGCCTAGCAGATTGTGTGTCATTTTATTTTTAGAACAATTTCCTCGTCTCTAAAAGCCTGAAGAGGGCTGAGCAACAAAAAAAATTTCTTTTCATTTTTTTTATCTTCGGTTTTTATTGGCATTTTGTGTCACAACACACGAACACGTAAAACCCGAAAGATAGAGGGCTAGGGACACAAACAAAAACAAAAATAAAAACTTTTTTTTTCCTATTTTTATTTTTATTTTTATTTTTCTGTTCGTTTGTTTGTTCCTTTTTTTTTTTTCTTTCACAAGAACCATTTGTAACTCTTGGTTGGGTTGATTTCAAAAATATTGGCTAGATATGGTGTTGTTAATGCTGTGTTAACCCTTTGAAGTTCTTTGATTTTGTTTCACATTTAGTTCCCTATCTGCTTTGATTGATTTGCTTATTAATCGACGTTTGTTGTACTATTTATTGCTTTAAATTAATAGGAAGAAAACATATACATAGAATAAACAAATAAAGACAACAAGGGATAATAGTTAAGGATTGGTCCATATTGTAAGGTGAATTTAGTCATTAGATCCTTTTTAATCCTCTTTTTTCTTTTATTTTTTGGTCTATTTTTTTTGTCTAAACACTGCTAATTTAATTATATTCAGTTTTATTCTCCATTTGTAACTACTTGTCAAATAATAGAAGTGTTAGAAATTTATAAGTATTAACGCAATATTATATCATTAATTTAGCAATAATAAATCAACAATACATCAATAATAATAATAATAATAATAATAATAATAATAAAATATGTCACAACAAGTTGGAAACAGTATTAGAAGAAAATTGGTTATAGTAGGTGATGGTGCTTGTGGTAAAACATGTCTTTTGATTGTATTTTCCAAGGGTCAATTCCCTGAAGTTTATGTCCCAACAGTTTTTGAAAATTATGTTGCAGATGTAGAAGTGGATGGTCGTCGTGTTGAATTGGCTTTATGGGATACTGCAGGTCAAGAAGATTATGATAGATTAAGACCATTATCTTACCCTGATTCCAATGTTGTGTTGATTTGTTTTTCTATTGATTTGCCAGATTCTTTGGAAAACGTTCAAGAAAAGTGGATTGCAGAAGTTTTACATTTTTGCCAAGGTGTACCTATTATCCTTGTTGGTTGTAAAGTAGATCTAAGAAATGATCCTCAAACTATAGAGACTCTAAGAGAAGCTGGATTACAGCCTGTAACATCAGCTGACGGTCAATCTGTAGCCGATCAAATCGGTGCTACTGGTTACTATGAATGTTCTGCAAAGACAGGTTATGGTGTTAGAGAAGTCTTTGAGGCTGCTACAAGAGCTTCCCTAATGGGGAAGTCTAAGAATAATGGAAAGGCAAGAAAATCTAATAACGGTGATAAAAAGAAGAAGAAGAAATGTGTTTTATTATAAGATATGAAAAGTGATTAGGTTTTTAATTGATTTATTAATTGATTGGTTGTTGTTATTTTTTTTTATCTATCTCTTCTATCTCATCATCTTTTTTTTTTTCCTTTTCATTCTCTTTTTTGATTGATTTGAGTTGAGTTATTTAAAAAAAAATTTTTTTTTATTATTTTTTATTTTATATATATGTATATGCTTATGTATATATTTCTAATTGATTTTATCTATATTTTCATTTACACAAATATTTTTGTATATACATGTATATATATTTGGGTATAGATGTATAAATATGTTCCTATTTCTTTTATGATTTTTTTTCTATTTTTCCATTTTTTTTTTTATTTGTTTACTATTTTTTTTTTTTCATTTGGAAAGATTTCTTCTATTTGAAATCCTTTGGATTGAAGAATAAACTGGAGTTCATTGAAAAAGGGCGTTGATATGTATGCCACATTGTTTTGATTGGTGAACCAAGGTGGCTGTTTCATTAAACAAGACGGTTTATACAAGGGATAACTGTGAAGAGATCTATTTGTTCGTTTGGCAAACAATGAATACTAACACTTTGCAAAAAGATAATACCAACCAAAATGATGTGAATAAAGACGTTGATTTACATAAATTACATGAAGAGTTAAGTCAATCAGAACAGCAAATAACAGCAATTATAGAATCATTTATAGAATTGGGTGTATCGATATATGATTTCCCTGGTACGCCAGAAGCTACTCAGGGAATGATCACTAATTTGAAACGTAATGTGGACCGTCTTTTCAAACTAAATCAGGTCTCGAATGATCCGGAGTCCACTTTACAAAAAGTTAGTATTCCATTCGAAGTGGTTCAGTACATTGAGGATGGACGAAATCCTGATATTTATACAAGAGAATTCGTAGAAGCTATCAGAAGATCGAATCAATATCAAAGGGCCAAGATGCATGGGTTGAAACTGTTAAGAGACTCATTGGCAGAGAAAATCAGTGAAGAATTTCCTGATTTGGAGTCGACTGTCCAAGATATTCTGCAGAGAACTAATCTACAAAAAGAAGAATAGAGATAAGAAGAGTATTAGTGATGATAAAATTTCTTTTTGCTTTTTCTTTTTCTTTTTTTTTCTTTTACCTTTATCAGAATTATTGATTTAATTCATTTTCATAAGGTCACTTAAATAATAATAATAATGATAATAACAGCGATAATATCAAATAATAGTAATAACAAGGATAACATGAATACGATACATAAACCGTGGCGGAATAATGGCGCAATATATGCGGAATCTTCGAGATTCTGTGCTTGTTCCTTTTTTTTTTTTTGGGTCTGCTAAAAAAAAAAAAAAGAAAAAAAATTCGAAATTGTTAGAAAAGACAGATATGAAAATATGAAGGAAGTACAAAAAGAGATTTGCATAGGGAGATTTTCTTTTAAAAATTTCTGTCTCTGTGCAGTTTGTTTTTATTTTGAAGCCTCAGTAATTCGGTCCTTTCTGAATCTGATAATGTTCGTGTGCCTCTTAGGATTTTGAGTATTGATATCATGACCAGTCATAAAGATAAAAGAGCTAAGCACAATAGTAATAATAATAGTCATGCTAATGTTAATGTTAATGCCAATATTAATAATTGGAAAACTGGAGACTTGGTGCTTTGTAAAGTTGGATCTTTTCCACCATGGCCTGCTGTGATCTTTCCCCAAAGATTCCTTAGAAATGACGTTTATAAGAAAAAAAAACCTGAAAGAATTGCTGTTTCCTTTTTCAATGATCCAACATATTACTGGGAATTCCCGCATAAACTGACGGCATTGACGCCAAAATTAATAGATTCTACTCTGAAAAATAATAGTAATGCCAATTCTATGAATGATGCATTGTTCATTGCTTATAAAGAAGCTAAAAAATATATTGACTTAGAATCCTTTATCACGGCAAAATTTATACAAGAAGATAGATTAAATGATTATTCTGATGAAATTGACCTGAATGGTCCTCTTATAAATGGGGAAGACCCATTTATTACAAAAGAAATGTTAACAGAAAAACAGAATGATAGTAGTAATAGCTATAATGATAATGATAAATTTGATAATAAAGGTGAAGAAGATGGTGGAGAATTTTCAACTAAAAATAGAAATTCGAGACTTAAATTAGATCATAATGGTATAGCAAATATAAAATCAAAGACTACTACCACTAAAAAGAGATCACATTCAAAATTAGATATATCAAGACAAACTGAAATTGCATCTTTGTTTCGACGCAGAATTCAAGCAAATTTGATACAAAGAGATGAACCTCCAACTATTGAAGGAATCGAAGAGTCTCATAAATTACTAAACAAAATATACGAAAATCTGGATACAGAACCCCCATTTTTTGATTTGAATACTTTAAGAAAAACAAAATTACATAAATTATTAAGAGTGATTGTTAATAATTATAAATTAGAAGAATTTCACCAAATTTGTAAAGATATCTTAGCTCATTGGGCTACAATGATAATTCAATTAAAGAAAGAAAGGGAGGAAGCAAAGAAAATAGGAAAAAAAACTATTCTGTAAATAATAACAAAAACAATAGTCATACTAATAATTTTTCTATAACCAAAAACAAATAGCATTTTTATTAGTTTATATGCTAGTAATATTTTAATTTGATTTTCGTTTTGCAGTGCAGTAATATTTTTAAAAAAGAATTATTTCTCTTTTGTTTTATTTTTTTTTAGTGCCTTTTCCCATTTGTTATTAATATTTCTTTCTCCACTCTTTTTTTTCTTCACATTAATATTCATTTCAAGATACTTGAATCTATACATGGCTGAATAGCTGAACATATATATATATAGAAATGTAGATAGATTGGTATATTATGATTTATCGTTTGTTTGTTTTTTTCCGCGTTCTTACTCGAAAACTCCACGCATTTAAACTAACTTTTGAATATACTAATGTTATTTGAATAGTTTTATATTTTTGCTTATCACATATCGTTTACAGTTCTTATGTAATTGTCTTTGTGATAAAAAAGTGATGCATAGCTTAGAAAAAGGTATCTATATTTGAAGATAAAATAAACAAAAAAAAAGTAAAGTAGTGAAATTTTTTTGTGAGTGCCCTTGATATTAATACCTTAACAGATAATAATTAGTAGTTCAACATTTGGTGTTATACATGTACGTTGGTCTTTGTTAGAAGACATATCATTAACTATGTTTAGAGTTTTTTAAAAAAATAGATGAAAACTATTGAAAATGTCATTCAACATAGATAATTATTCATCTAATATAACAAAAGTAATAAATATTTCAAAATTTTGATTATATGAACACATACTTAAACGATTTAGTTTAGTCTGTATCATTACCAAAGTACCCTTATGTGTCGGAAAGAATCTTTTTTTTCTGTTCATGTATAACAGTGATTACATAACATTTATTACAACATGAGGAATCGTAAAATATAGTAATCTTTTAAAAGATTCTGATTGAATTTTATTAGTTCATGATTGAATTTGAGGCAATAGTTCGAGTATGAACAAACACTTAATAACAATTGACAATAATTTCAAGGACAATGAAAAAATTTTGAATCATGTAATAAATAGGAATCCAATAGATGATATTTGTGATGAAATGATTGTTACTATTAAAAGTGAACCAAAGATTATCACACTCATGATTAAGGCATTAAATTATTATAAAGATTATTTGTTGAGAGGAGATCTAGACGCTAATGTCTTTTTTTTTATTTTAGAGAATAAAGCACCAGTACGTGAGGTTAGAACATTATCATATATGATTCTTGATAGTCATAATGACAATGATATACACCATTGAAATTGTGGGTGTTAGAAAAGAAAGACTTAATATTACAATACATATAAGATATATGTTTTTATGTACCTTTTTTTTGAAAAGCGTATGTTACTGGATCATTTGATTACCTGGAATACTGTGAATAATCGACTTGAACCGGAGAAAATGATTTACTTCTTTCTTCTATAATATTATCAATAGGATAGTATTTGTCTATATTATGATTAGTTTTATACATTTTATTAATATCATTAGAATTTGTATTTGGTATACTTGGTATTGTATCTCTGTTAATAAAATTAGTATGTTTTTGTAGAAATTTTAATTCTTTTTTTAGGATTCTTAGTTCAGATTCTCGTTGCAGTAATTCTTTCTTCAGTCTTTTATTTTGTCTTTGTAATAATAGAATCTTGTCATTATTTAATTCAGAGTCGTTAAAACTTGCATAAGAATAAGACTGGTCTTTCTCTTTCCTCAGTAAAGATCTCTTCAATGCATTTAACTGTCTTCGATCATAATCTCTTTCTGCCAACTTTTTTTTAAAAGATCTACTTTGTCTAATTCTTTCTCGTATTATTTTATTTCTATTAATATAACTGCTATCATGAATAGCATTTGAATTATTTGATAATAAACTAAAATTCTCACATGCTACCCTCATATTGGTGATGTTTTCTGCATCATTAGAAAAGATGAATTTTAAATTTTTAACAAAATGATTCAAAGAATTGCCTATGTTAAGTGTATACAATAAAGAATCTCTAGACTGTTTCAAAGGTACTCTACATTTATTCAAAGATTTTCTGTTTATACGATATCTTTTTATGGAACTAGGTATTCTCCTTTGGAACCTAATTTCATTAAGATTACCATATTCTTTTTTTCTTTTATCTTGTATGGTATTGTCACTTGTGTTAAAAAATTTTTTATACAATCCTTTAATAGCCTCAGGAACCATAACACAATAAATGGTCTTTCTCAACTTTCCATATATGTCTGTTTGATTTACATAGAAACTTCAGCAATGCTATCACTACTTACTGTATCTTGTGCTTTTGTGTATTATCCAAACAGTTTATATTACAGTGCAATTTGAAAGTACTTTGCTGAAATCATTATTTGTGTAACATTCGCTGTTCAAATGTCATTATAGACGATCTTAAAAATTTTTTTTTCGACGACAATATTTTTTTTTTCATATTTATAAAGTTTATAACTGTTTGTTGTACACAACTATTTGTCTATATTTTTCTTTGTATGCAGTACACCTTATTAGTATCGTGCATAAAGGACAGCAGCCAAGAACTGCTTCTTATATTTTATATTCTGGGAGAGTTTTTCTCCCGTAATAGGTCGTCATCTATTACATTCTATGGCTCTCTAGTTTAAAAGATCTAGTAATATCATGGATAGTTATTTTATTTACACTTTCAGATATTTATCTAGTTTTTAAACGTACTGCAAACTAATAAAATTACTCCAACTGATCAGTTAAAGATTCTCGTGGTTAGTAATCACAAAATTGAATCTTTAATTGCTACCTCCAATATTAAGGGTCTAGTATTTTAGTCCCTTAGGCTTCATTGATTTAGCTCACCAAGTTTAGTAATAGTAAGACTCTAAGTACAGCATAGCCAAAGAGATACTATCAATTGCATATTATGAAATCGTCAAGTATTTAACTAAATTAGTTTCCAGCTTCTCAGGGTTTATGACAGATGGATGAAATGTTACATATGCTAGATGGAAAAGCGAATTGCTGAATTTCAGGTATAAAGTTGAATTAGCAAGTCTAACTTTGAGAAAAGTTATTTTAGATAAATTTAAAGAAGGTGAATATTCAGTTAGTTTAATTGAGCAATTAGTAGACTTAATGGGTAAAAGATTTGACACTCGACTAAATTAAGTGTAAGTTTATTTGCAATTACAATCTTTGTGTTCCATTATAGATTTTGAGGAGTTTTTCAAGGCTCTCGCTGAAACATAAAACATGGCTTCTCGAGTTTTTCTTTATTTCTTTTATACTACGACCTTTTCAGTTGTATTATTGCCACTAGAAAGTAGAAGTTTTGTGTTAACAGATGATATTAACCTGATTTTTCCGTAGCATACCTATTTAAATAGAGCTGGATGTTATGTCAGTGACTCAGGTGTATTAGGTATATCTATTAGTGATCTATCAACTAATGATAAAGTGTATCTTAACTTTTTGCCAAAGTCAGTTAGAAACAACAATAAAACTAGATTTAGTGTTGCGTCAATTCGGTGTTTTAGTTGTAATAAAAAATATTATATGGACACATTATATTCTTTTGTAAATAGGCGTAAGACTGGTAACAGATTAACTGCCAAGAGTTTTTCTGCCAGTAGTAAGTCAAAGAACTATGAGAGTGCCGAATTTTAAAAACTGCAAGGACTGTTAAGGACGAAATGGTTAACTATTAAAAAGAATTCAGAGATTTATCTACATGTACAAGAAACAATGAAAATTGACAATCAAGATGTAGTAGTAAATTTTGATTGTGGTACATAACCCAGTTCTTTGTCAGGAATTAATGAACAGATTAAAGTTGCAGATAGTTCAGACAGATGGTTCTTACTAGGTTAAAGACACAGATAAAATCTCAGGAACTATTTGAGCATTTAAAACTGCTGTAGTCTAGTCTAGTTTATATAGCCGGTCAGTGGAGGACTCAGTTTTATATTAGACAACGTCAATCTTAAAGATCTTACCTTTTGAAAGTATGAAAACAATACGCAGACAGGTATCAGAAACTAAACTCTAGAATAAGGTTTAGAAAAGTTTTGATAAGTGTAAATCAGCTAATCCTTTCATTCAGATAAGATAAATTATATTTGACAGTTTTTCATTTAAGAGAGTAGATGTAGAGGTTCAGGACCTTAATATTTGGTTAGTTTTCATTAGAAAAATGAATAAGTTGTTACCTAAAAAGAAGGGGGAAATTAGACAAGCCAGAATACAATCATTAATTCAGTTTCAGAATAATAAGAGGTAAGTAGACAGATTGATAAATTAATTCGTTAAGGTAGAATTTGTCCTAAAATAACTCCATATGGTACTCCTGTGTGGTTTGTAAGTAAAATAGTTCTCATAGATTGTGTTGTGATTTCAGAGAATTAAATTAAACTACTATTAAGGGTTGTTTTTCACGTCGGATTCAATCTGTGTTAACTATCATATTCTGGTTAGCATCGATGTTCAATACTAGAAAGCTTCTACTAGCACATGGAGTCCGTATATTAAAAGAGTAACGCTTTTCTTTTTGAAAAGTGCACTTTTGACATTTTAGATGATTATGCTAGGTGTGTTATGTGAATATATTGGGAAATTTGTTGCTGTTATTTTAGACAACGCTTTGGTATATTCTAAGAATCAGAATTCTTATACATAGCATTACTAGTTAGTATTGGACTAATTTAGAGAGATAAGATCATCTGTTAAAGAGTTAAAGATATATTTGTTTCAGACAACATTAAACGACTAGGACATTATATTAATACATTAAATATTCAGGTTGGCCTGGAATTCAAAGGGAATAATAATACCGTTTTTATATGCAAAATTGATAGTACTTGTGAATCCTATATCAGTTTTAGGGGGTGTTATTAAAATGGTAAGAGTTATAATGAAATAGAAATATTAATTTTCGATAGGTAATCATTAAGGACCATTCTAATTGTAATAAACACTAAGAAGATGTTTTTAAGAACATTTAACACAAATCATGCATTTTTATATGTTGCTTTGAATGGAGGACTTCATATTCTACATTCGCAGAATAATAGAGTTGTTATACTATTAAAGACACCTATGTATGACCTTAAAGAAAATTTTTCAGAACTGCAATTATTTTGTTGAAAGAGTTTAAGGATTACATAGAATTTTGCAATTCTATCTATTCTCCTAGTTTATTCGTATTTAAAGGCGAATTCTTCGTGTTAGCTGCCCACGTCGATGATTATATTATTGCAACTAAAGATGAAGATATCTTAGAAAAATACATGACTATTAAAAAAATAGGTTTGTGTTAAAATAACTGGGTTTTATGATAAACAATCAACTAGAAACAGATATTTTGGGTTTAGACTTAAATTATGATGGAGAAAAAGGAATATTACAATGGAATATAAAAAATTATATTGAGGAAACTATGAGAAATTATGAAAAAGTTATTTCAGTGGAGAGGAAAAATAGAAAAATACCAGTCTTTCAAATATTCATAGTTATAGCATAAATCCAAAAACTAAAACACTGATTATGGATAAATCCACTTTAAAAGGAAAGGTAAAATAACTTACTTGAGTATTAATTGGAAAATTTAATTATATTAGAACATGAGGAGAACTATATATAGAATTTGATTTAGTCAAACTATTACAATTAGTTTTTATTTGTTTATCACAAGGTAATCTAAGGTAGTGAAGAAATTATTGAAATATTTTTACAATAATAGAGATATTGGATTAGCAATAAAAAGAGACAACACAAGTGATTTAATTATTGTGGCAATTATAAATGTATTATTGAAGTCTGAATTTGACTTAAAATCTTGATTTGGTGTTATTTTGTGGGTAGGCAAAAATTTTCATGGTGGACTTTTTAAAAAATCGACTATAGTGTATAGGTCATCAATTTAATCTGGATTAGATACTTCTACTATAGGGGGAAGATCAAGTTGTTTTATTAAAGTGTGAAATAAAGGGAGTATTTAAATATGTAAATCCACATATTAATATTATAACAAATTCAAATCCTGCAGCGAATTAACCGAAATAAGGATATTTTAAATCGAGACCGAAAGTTATTGGACTTGTAATATTTAATCCAGAAAGAAAGCAGGCTTTTATAACTTAATGATGTCTGTCATTAATATGGATGGCGAGAGCTCTAAATTTCATTAATTTCATCTTATTATTTGATTTTTTATCCTAAGTATTTGGATTTTACTTTGAAATAATCTCGTTTTAACCAGTCGAATATTAGTTTAGAGTTGAAAAACCCATGAAAGCAAATGTTCTCTAACCATATTAAAGCACCACATCTTGACTTAAGATCAAATTCAGATGTTGTTGAAGCACCTAAAAGCACTGTAATGTTCAAAATATTTTGAATCTCTTCTCTTTTAAAAACAATCTTCACATCTTTTATTTTATAAACATAATTTAATATCTGTTCTGTTATCTCGATTACCTTTTTATGAGGATATAAAACTAATTGAGCCATTTTACTGACTGCAAATTCTATATCAATTCTTCCTCTAGACCTAATATAGTTCAATTTGCCTATTAATTCTTGTAGATATCTTACTTTCTTTTTACATTCATCTTTCGTCATGATTAAATTATCTTGTTTGGGATTTATTTTAAACTTATCAATATCTGGAATCATCTCGTCTTTCAATTTATCATTTAATATCATTGGATATTCTTTTTCTAATCTCTTTATATAGCTAGTCATGCTTAATGCTATCTCTCCTTTTTTATAATCATAATCTAAATTCATCCCCAGAATATCTGTATTAAGCATAATATCTTTCATTTCACCAACTATTTTTAGTGAGAATTGTTTTTTCAATGCATTTATAAATTCATCTAATTTTTGATCTGTTCTAGTAGCAATTATACAATCATCAACATATGCTGCTATCATGAAATTACCATCCTTTGAAACGAATAATCCAGGTGAGTAAATATCATCATATAAACCCATACCATTTACAGATTCTTTTAAGGTTTCATTCCATCTTTTAGGGCTTTGTTTTAGTCCATACAAAGCCTTTCTTAATGGAGTAACCTTCGTTGCATTTTTTGGGTGTTGCATATACAACTCTTCATTTAAAGCTGCATATAAAAATGCATGGTTAATATCTAACGTCTTTAATTTCATCTTCTTATTGTTAGCAATAATCAATAGAATTCGCAATGAATCAAGACTTAAAATGGATGTTTCAATATCATTATAACTACTGCTTGTTTGTTGATCGCCTCTACAAACAATTCTGGCTTTATAAGTTCCATCTCTCTTAATCGTAAAAATAGAATTTGTTCCTACGATTTTATCCTTTGGTATTTTACTTTTATCTATGGCAATATTTAGATCAATCACTTTCATATTAACTATATTTTTCAACTCTTTATTGGATGCTTTAATAAATTTAACTTTTTCTTTTGGATTTTAATTCTCAGTTATAGTTTGTTTATAAAATGATATTCTGATCTTTCTTTTAAGCACACTTTCTTTCCCCCATGATTTAGGTGTGAACTCTTTTCATCTTCCTTTAGAAGTAATAAAATGAATAAACTTTTCCTTTTTAAAAATCTTCTTAATATTCCTTCTTAATATTAACAAGGTACCTACCATTAATTTCTAATTATTTTCCTCGTTCTTGAACTTGTTACAAGTTATTCTTTTTGTTGTCAAGTTCTCTTTCCTTCTTTTGTTAAGTTTCTATTTTCTATTTCAAGAATTCCTTAATATCATCATTAAATATCTGATATAATTCAGTATTTGTTGATTTGAGTGATGTAGATTATTTCTTCAAAGGATTTGCTGATCAAATTATGATGTTTTAGTTTATGGATGTTTTTCTTTATGGCATAGAGTAAGTTTAAAAACTTTATTATTATTTAATTCTACTTTTAACACTTCTGGTTTGACAACAATATTTCTTTCTGTTTTTTCTTTCTCTTGTCTCATATTAAAGACATTAGTTTCCTACTTTGTTGTATTAAGATCATCCTCTAAAAGTATGTGTTTATTGACTTCTAATTTCTTCTCTGTTGTTAATGTTTGATTAAGTTTATTCATGACATATGTCTCATTAATTTTCGATAAATTTTTAATCATATTTCTATTAAGTTCTTCATGTCCAACACTATTTGCCAACTTACGTTCCATTTACTTATTAGTAGTTTTGTATGGAGTTTGTATTGTTGTTTCCCTGAAAGTCAGGTGTATTGTTCAATTTTGGATACAGTTCATAATTATTATCTTTGTTATTATGATGATGGTTATTTTCTGTCAAAGGTATTCAAAGCAGTAAATTAGCTTGCTCCTCAGTCTTTTAAAAATATTAAACAATTCTCATGTTTATATTTTTATTGCAGAAATTATATTACGAATTTTAGCGCTATTGTTAGATCCTTACACAAGTTTATCGTTGTGAAAACGAATATTAATTGGTTAAAAAATAAAATAAAGTCATTCGTTTAGTTACATATTTAAGTAAGACTTTACAAAACTATGAATTAAATAGGCCAATCAGAAAAAAAGAATTGTTTGCAATAATTCATGCCTTCAGACACTGGAAACATCTTTTGGAGGGTAGATAATTTTAATTATATATGGATTCTAGGTCTTTAGAACCTACTATGAAAAAGTATTGGTTAAATTATAGACCACAGAATTGGGTGCCATTTTGAATGCAGCTCCATTTAATAATCATCTATATTTTAGGAATAATAAGTGTTACTGACAATTTATTCAGAGAAACAATTAAAATATTAATCTTTATAATAGGATCAGTTCAAGCATCAATATCAAAACAAATTGAAGTAGGTTATAAGGACGATCATCATTTGGCACTTAGTATTGAGATTTTAAAAGGAGAAAATAATATCTCGCAGATTAGTGGACTATTATCATCAACTATTGACTACAAAAGATGTTTTTGTGTTACGGCTGTTACAGAGGCATTAGAAATAGATTGGTTATTCCATATAAATTAAGATTAGAGTTATTAAGGATTTGTCACTTTTTGGATATAGCATATTTTTGAGGTGCTAACAGATCATATTAGCTTAGCGTTATCATTAGAAGGGTACGCAAGTTTATGTATTAAAGTTTATTAATTCTTGTCATAGTTATTAAGCCTTGAAGAATTCTCGTTAGCCACTAACTGGTGCTTTTCATCCAATATACACAATAATCACAAGCCTTAAAGCAGTTTACATCGATTTTATGAGTGGTGTGAAAATAGATGGTCCCTTTGAACAAATTATGTTAATTACAGAGAGACTGACTAAATATGCTGTAACTATATCTTTGTCCAAGGGCGTTTCTTCCCTAGAAATTGCAGAAATAATTTTAGCTAAATTTGTATTAGAGTATATTATTCTAGAATTCGTAATCTTAGATTGCAATAAAAAGTTAACAAATTCGTTATTAGAAGATTTTATGTCCAGATTAGATATCGGTATAAATTTCTCCAAAGTAAACAGCTCTCAGGGTGATCGACAAATTGAAAGATTAAACAAGATGTTAGTTAGGTACTTGGATTATATTGTCAAGATGGAACCCAATAAGTCCAAAATTTACAAAATGTTATCTTTATGTGTAGCACCATTAGTCATACTCCACTCTTTATATTGAGAGGTTTATAGGTATCTTTTATTCCATTTGGGATCGTCAAAGGGATGGACTTTCTAAGATAGGTGAATCTAGGAAATTAGGTAGCAGAAAACCAACAATTGAATTCGTAGAAGATGTAGAAGGTCAGTTAGTGTCTATTTGAGATCAAATCACACAAGTTTTGGAGAAACAACCAAAGAATAACAATAAATAATAAATATAATAATAGATTTTGTGACGCTAATCAATGTAATTGTTGAGAACGAGCGCCTGTAGTCATTGGATATATAGTAAACATTCTCAATATTATATTAAACAGATTTAGTATACAAAATTATAATAAAGTTCTTCGGTTTTTTTTATTTATGTATATAATGTATAATGCTAAAATATAGAAGATGAGCAAGGGAAGAAACATGATATGAAAAAAATGTTGGCTTTATATATTTTCATATCTGGTCTATCTCGTTTACGTACGGCACCAAATTTATGATGAAGTTTGCTTACGTCTACTGATAAGCAAACAATACGTTCTCCACTTTTTGCTTATCAATTAATGTTTATTAAAATCTAATTGGTCTATTATTTATTCTAGAACGTTTGATTCCAGCAGTGATAACTGGGTGGTTATGAATTTCTAACAATATTCAATTTAGAATTAGTAATAATAATAACGTATATACTTAATTGTCTATCCTTCTTTTATTCTTGATTACTCACGATTCTTCTTTTGTTGGTCACTCCTACTTTATATGCTTATGCATTTTCTTTATTACCTCTTTATGTTTATGTTAACAAGGTTAATTTGTAAAATTTTTGCAAGTTCCCCGTTTTAGACAATTTTATAAACATATAAAATTAAGAGTAACCAACACAAGTAAAGGAAAGTGACCAAAACAAACTAAGAAAGGAGATGAAATAAAGATGAATAGATATTATGTATATAAATATCTATTTTTTAGTGCTAGTAAATTAGAGATATACATTGATATTATGTCTAAATATATGGAGTTAGTGTATATCTTATATCTATCCAAGTGATTCATTGTTACTATTATCCTTAATGCCGACCGTTATCAGAAATCCATTATTACATAGTTATACTGGGGTATTGTGACATATGAAATCCTGATGTCACTATAAATGATCTTATGAACTCTTTAGTCGACGGCGACATTCTTGTTTTTCTTGTTTATATAACTATGTTTATCTATATATCTGTATATGTCAGTTTACTCTTTATGTAGAGTATAATTTATACATCATATATAGACAACCAACTAAGCTATATTTATCTATTTTAGTGTCTAGAAGAGTATATCTCTCGTAATAGGATTTTCATCTATTGCAGGTATTATAAAAATTGGTGTTCTTGGGTTAAGGGTGTAAAAATGAAGGGTGCGAGGTTCGAACTCGCGCGGACACCGTCCAACAGATCTTAAGTCTGCCGCCTTAGACCACTCGGCCAACCCTCCTTCGCTGCTGTTCCATGTTGTAGAATAGAATAATAACAATTACCATGATTAAAGAATTGGGGTGCAGTTCTAATCCACTAGTGCACCTAAATTAATGTAATAAATTTTAGGGTTTGGATCACTAAGCTCGTTAATATACAAATCTGAATAATTGATCGAGCTCCAGAAAATATATAAAAGGACAACGTTTTCTGGAGATAAAAGATCATCTTCCATAACAGTTTTTTCGTAAATAATCTATATGTTGTACATAAACATAGATAGAAAAAATAAAAAGAAGCAATAAAACCCTTAACCTCTTAGTTATATATAACGTTCTTATATATTTGTTATTGCCCTTACTATTCGTTCAATAGTACTGTTAAAAAAATTGGTCCTAAGTCCAAACTATAACATTCTACGCTGTGGAATAGAATAGTTATAACCATCAAGATTACATAAGATCCTGAATGAATCTAGAACTAATTATTGTATTAATAAGCCATACACGTGCTACAACATTAGATGCTGCATAATAAAAAGATTAGATTACATAAGATTTTGGGAAATCTAGAATTTACCTATTGTTTTAATAAGTTCCACGTGTATTACTAATCACCATGACTAGAGAACTGGGGTGCAGTTCTAATCCACTAAATTAATGTAATAAATTTTAGGATTGAATCACTAAGCTCGTTAATATACAAATCTGAATAATTGATCGAGCTCCAGAAAACATATAAAAGGACAACGTTTTCTGGAGATAAAAGATCATCTTCCATAACCGTTTCTTGTAAATAATTTATATATTATATATGAACAAAAAGAGAACAACAAGCAAGTAACAAGTTAAGTAACTTTGAATAAATATATTAGCTCGTTAAAGCCGCTCAATATATAAGACCGTTTTAGTAATTATATCATCGACTATAGTTGATTACTGTCTCGATTACTTGAATAACTATTAATATTATTTGCGCTTCCCTGAAATACACAAAGAATTTCACTACTTCATAATACAACATTCTATCTTTTAGGATAATGAGGTAATGTCACTGAGATTATGTAACATCCTATCCAAATCCAAAGTTATTTGTTGTGTTTTAAGTACAATGTGTCCATTTGCCACCTAGTATGCAGCGTGTTCACACATCTTTGTTACGGTGCCACCATAACATATTATGTTTATCTGCACCATGTTCATTATAGTTTCTACTGCGCCATTATAACCTATTGTCCTAAATGTTTTATGTTCTTCGATTACATTATTACAACTAATAATGAAGATATGGATTACCAATCCATTAA